ACAGGCTGGAAGTATCTGCCCTGCCCTTGCTGGGCCTAGGTAAGGGAGTCTAATGCAGTGTCAGGAAAAAAGACACTTACTTCTGTTAAGTATGTTGAAGTATTTTCAACACCAGTGTGCTCCTCTTTCTCCTCAAACGATATGATACATATCAGAACTTAATACAGGATTGCCTGTTTAAGTGTTTTCTTGAATTCTTTCTACCAGAAGACACATAAGAGTTAATTGTTTTTTCTTTGTTCTCCTTGTTCTTTTCAGAAATAAAAGGGAAGCCAAGTCAGGTTCTGTATGAACCCTCTAATGAGTTCTACAGCACTCTGAAATGAAACTTGCTTTCTTTTTGCATGTGTATCGTAATGCCACTGAGGCTTCTACCAGGTTTCCATGCATTTTTCCAAGATGAGCAAGATCTGATCTTCTACCATATGAAGATGCAAAGAAAGAACTCTGATTAAAACAGTAATTCAGCAGAAGACTCTGGACTTTTTGTTTTACAAGTCACATCGCTTGAAGAAAGAAATTGAAACTTTTTGCTGCTTGCTATGAGAATAGGGAGCCAGAGAAGTAGTGCACAATCTGTTGTAACACATTCTAGCATTACAGCTGCTTAGACTGCACGCTTTATAGTATACATGGAAACAGTTCTTGCAGGAGTAAAATGACAGCTCCCTGGCTTCTGTGCCAAAATCCATTTTGGTTTTGGTTTATTTTTAAAAAAAGTTTTAAATATTGTACTGAGTACGTGAGTTGCTGAAAAAATGTGTCTTTCAGAGAAGGAAAATTACCAAATAATTTTAAAGAAGCAAATTAAAATATTTATGCTTGTTATTTCTTCATATTGTCAATAAGTAATGGATGCTGGGAGGAGGTACATTGAATAAAATAAGATAAATTGAATTTTTAAAAGGTAGTCAAAGACTAGACAGTTTTCTCCATTAACAATTATGTAGATTCTCGTCACTGTGATTCCTGCCCGTTTTTATGTCTAACTGTACTGAGCATATATTAAAAATATTTAATAGGATCCTTTTTTCCTGCATCACTGAGGCTGTAATACAAATAATGAAATTAGTAGAATAGTTAGAGCTGCTTCTTGTTTGCCTGAAACTTGGGCTAGGAGTTGTTTCACTTCCCCCGCCACACCCCCGCCTCCCCCCGGGAGAGGATCATCTAATTGTCCTAACCCTTTCTCCAGCCACCAAAACCAGTCATTTATGCAAAGTGGGATAGTTTCCTATGGGATCTCCTGTGGGAATTTGAAAACAGTCTTACTGAATATTTTACTGTCTGCTTAGTGTTGCTGACAGAGTAACTATCTCTTCTTTGAGGGCTACAAAAATAGAACTTCACTCTTAAGCATTTTGCCTAAATAATGTTTGTTTAAATACAAGGCTGGCTAAACAGCTATATATATAATGTTCACTTTTTAAATAGGTTTCTCACAAGCTCTGTGCAGGTTAGTGTGTTAGTGCAGAGATTACACAAAAGACAGCAGCATGAAGGAAGGCAAATATAAATAGCAGCCCTGGGATTTAAGAAGTTTCTTGATTCCAACTCATCCATTAGTGGACAGAACGCATAATGAAAAGCGCATGGGTTTTGCTGTGTAAAAAGTGACTGATAAGTGGGTAACAACTCGGTATCCTTTAAACTGATTCCAGGCTGCCTTTTGGAGAGTGTCCTGTTTTTTGGCCTAGGTTTCTGTTTCACCCATACCTGGTGGATAAACACCCTTCAAGGGCTGGTGGTCACTCAGCTATTGGAAATACTACCTCCTGCTTTCCCAGAAGAGCATGTGTATTTGGGGAAGAAAGGTGCGGACTGTGTCATCTGCTGACTCGTGGTTTAATCTTTATTTTGCACTTCCAGCTGATAAGACCACTTTATGTGAAAGTAATACAGGAAATGATGCACTGCAAAAACCGAGTGGCAGAAAGGGAAACGGAATGTACTGGCAAGGGCTCAGTGCTGCGGATGCATTCCCTGCTTCTTGGAAACGAAAAACTCCACCTACGGTGCCCTTTTTTTGTTTGTTTTTTTAAGCTTAATACTGGTATTGGAGCTTAGTGTGACTAGTATACAGCAGCCCATGGGTTTTGTCCCCCTTTATTTTGTGGCTTGTTCAGGGTTTGGAGTGTGCTTAGGCTTTGTTTGGGCAGGCAGGACTTCAGTAGGAGTCCCTGGGCTGGAGACTGGTGTTTGGCTAGGTCCCGCTGAGCTGCATTATTTCCAAGCATATCTACAAGTGCTGCACCTAAAGCTATTCCTCCTGCTCCCAGTGCATTTCTTGCTGCAGTTGTTGCTACGGGGATGCCAGCTGTTAAGATAATAACCTTTGATTGTAATGGTGAAATATGTTTTAGAGTGTATAGTTGTGGGAGTGGGACTTGCGTGTCGAAGGATCTGATCCAAAAACTTCAGAAATTCTGTTACTGCAGTCTGACTGCTTGGGGCTGCATACGAATGTTGTCTTAAACTTTGCAGAGCTTGTGTACTAGCTCATGTTAGGGTTGTATTTTCAGGCACAGTAGAAGGGACTTTTTTCTTTTCCAAGGAAGTAGGTTGGCCACTTATTTTTAAAGTAACTTGGTGGAAATGGGTCAGGCCTAGATAGAACCACGTCTACATTCATTATCAATGTTGAAAGAAGTTTGGATTGAGATTTAGATTTTGTACTTTCTTTTTTATTAGAACATCAACTCAGGTCTTTTGATTATTTTTTGTTTAATTTGAAGGGACGTGAAGTAGAAAGCGTGACTTGATTACTTGGTAATATGCCACTGGAACTTGTAATTTTTGTGTGTGATACTTGTGTCTTTTGAAAGATACAGAAAAAAGATATTTAGAATACTGGTTAAGATACAGACTGTATAAGAGAATAACTGTTACAAACATTTGAAGCATAGGTACTGCGGTTCTGGTAATACAGTTCTTAAATTAGCACAGCATTTTAATAAAGCACTTTACAGTGCCTGTAAGGATAGAGTACACCTGTGGTACAGTCAGTGACAGTAATGGAGTTTCAGTTCATTTAACAGTATAGCACATGCCCAGGTAACAAATTCTCAGATTTGCCCCAGGCTCATGCAAATCTTCCATTGCATTGACATTATTTCAAATATAATTCTTAGCATAAAAGGAATGGAAAGTACAAGTACAAAGTACAGGTAGACATGGTCTGCATCTTAGTCCATAATCATTGTTCACATAAATATAGTTTATGCATTCAGCCTAATAAAACTGAACCTTTGTAATTAGATAATTGTTTTAGTGACAAATTAATTGGAATCCAGTGGATGGTTTTCAGCTTCAAGTTCTTCAAGTGCTACAAAACCATTACAATGCATGATAGTCAAGAGGGTAAGTGTGGTATAACACTTAAAAATTTAAGATCTGCACTCTTTTCTTAGTATAGCTATGAAATTCTGTCTGGGTGTGCTGACACCTATGCTGTGTGTGTATATGTTGCTGGTTGGTTGGGTTTTTTTTTTGTGTCTTTCTGATGGCAATGAAAACATTCATATCCTTTTCCCTTTCCCCCTTCTCTGCAACCTGTTGGTATCCAGTCCAGGATATATTTCCTGTCTGTCTTCGTGCTCTGTTTGAAAATCAGTGGTTTAGTACTCTTTGTCTCATTTTCCCCTCACTGCCAGTGCAGGGTCTCTCCTACTTCCCCCAGAAGAGCCTTTTGTCTGCTTCCAGCCCAGGCAAGTATGAAATTTACTGCTCACAGCAGGGGCTGCTTCATAGGTGGACTTCCTCCCCCCCTCCACCCAGCGCTTCATCCTCATGCCATGTCTTCAAACTCGAGGACCACTGTGCTGTCTAAAATCCTCTTATCAGGACTTCCTTCTTCTTCCCACTCCTTGATGTGTCCTTGAGTACATCAGACAAGGCATTGCAGCAGGAAGGGTCAGGATGTAATCCCTGAAGTAAGTTCATAGTATCTTTCCCTCACAGTTTGTTTGTGAGCTGTGAGGGCTTTTTGGTGGGGTGGGGAGATGGAGTCTTCATTCTTATGTAAGATGAGTGAAAGCAAGGATCTTTCAAGTTTCCTTTCTTCTTTTATTTTCTCAAAGTAAGTTGGAAGTGAAGCTGAACTGTTTTTGTTTCAGGTCATGGTATGCACAAGTCTAGTGCAGTGATTTTTCGAGCTGCATCACTGGCAGTTTGGTGAGGTCTGGGTAGCACAATGCTGTTGCAGCATATTGCTTCCAGCTGCTCTCTAAATTAAATTTTTAAAGTGCTAGTGATCTTGCACTGGTTCCTTGGGATGTTTTGCTGGTTAAGGTTGTAACAGCTGATAGGCAGAGGAGAGTGTCCTTCATTCTTAACAGTGAAAGATGAAATTTGAAGGACTGTTTTAATCTGCTAGATTTAATGTGAACTACTTTTCTAATATAGGACCCTTGCCCTTTTGTAGAGTATATGTCTGGGAATACAGCCATATCTTCTTGTGTTTTGGCTTTTTCTATTGAGCTTTTCATGGAATGAACTGAGGGTGTGCTTGGGCATCGGGCACAAGTATTGTTTGAAGCTGGCAAATGCAGTTGCTGTCCCCCTTGTTGCATGGCACAAAAATCACTGAGGCCACACAGTAAATTGGATGAGGAAACTGAGCTGATGGGGAATTGTCCCACCACCTACCTCTAGCCCTTGTCCTCTCCTACTGCAAAGCCCCCACACCCCAACCTCTTTTGCTTTTGTTTATGCTGTGTCATTTTCCAGGGTGATCACCTCATTTATTCAGGGCTGTTTTGGGGAGAGGGATATATGAGATTCAGCAGCAGGCTCTGCTGCTTAAAAGTCTTAATCATATATGTCTTGAGTCCAGTTCTGGAGGCTGTCAGCACTTTGTTGTTTTTTCTTGTTGGTTGGTTTTTGGTCACACCACTCTTGCAGGTTGGGGGAGGATGTTTTTAACTGCTCTATGTTAGTTTAAAAAATAAAATCCTTTTTTTTTTTTTTCCCTTTCCCTCTGATATTCTCCTGCAGGTTCTCAGTCAGAAGAGTTTAAAATAATGAGAAGGTCGTGTCCGTCAAGGGGGGATGTCAGCGCTGCCTTCCTGGGACTGGAGGGATCAGAATTATTTGATACAGGCTGCTTTTGACTACTGACACAATCTGCTGTATCCTGGTGGTGGTGGTGGAAGAACAGGACAGTCTCTCCTGCTTGGTTCTGTGATATCACCGCAGTGGGGTCACCATGAATGTGACCAGTTTATTCTCCTTCACCAGCCCAGCAGTGAAGAGGCTGTTGGGATGGAAACAGGGCGATGAAGAAGAAAAATGGGCAGAGAAAGCTGTTGATGCATTAGTGAAAAAACTGAAGAAGAAAAAAGGTGCTATGGAGGAGCTGGAAAAAGCCTTAAGCTGTCCTGGTCAGCCCAGCAACTGTGTCACGATTCCTCGTTCCTTGGATGGCAGGCTTCAGGTGTCACACCGGAAGGGGCTTCCGCATGTCATTTACTGTAGAGTGTGGCGCTGGCCGGACCTGCAGAGCCATCACGAACTGAAACCACTGGAATGCTGTGAGTTTCCCTTTGGTTCAAAACAGAAGGAGGTTTGCATCAATCCCTACCACTACAAGCGGGTAGAGAGTCCTGGTAGGTTCTTCCTTGTTTGTACCTTTACACCTTATCTGAACAATGCAAAGTATGGCAATTAATCATGTGACTCATCATCTTAAATAAGCAAGAGTTGTTGTTTGCAAATGTTAGATTCTTCCTCTGCAATTTATTTGGATGTAAGCATTAATTAGCAGTTCTCCCTTTCACATGGCAAATGCTTCACTCGTGTAAATGTTTTATCACTATACAGAGGCATAGTCTTAGTATATGCCTCGAGCTGCTGGGCCTGGTATCACCTGGTTTTGTTAGTGACCACTATCCCTCAATTAATTTGGTTTTTACTGAATTGTGCAGATTAGTGAATCTGAATTAAATATTGCAAGCTAACATAAAGGATAATTGTAGTCTGTGCATGAAAACCGTTCTGACATACTGTGGTAGTGGTGTTCTTATTATTTCGATATATTATCTCACTTGTATCATGTTTGTTTCTTCATCCTCCAGAAGATAATACTGTCTTTCGGGTCTGCCACAATTTTGGCCTTTTCAAAAGACTGTGATTTTTAGACAGCAGACTATAATCCCCTCAATTTAAATCTTCGATAGCAATGTTTGGTTGCATGTGAAGTTTTACTGTTAGCTGTTCTGTAACAGTTTGCTTACCTACTACCCATGTCCCCACTTCTTTTTTAAGCTGTAACCCATTCTCTCTGTCTCCTCTTCAAAGGCCAAACCTCTTTGATAAATCTGTGCTTAATTTTACTTATGCAAGTTTATTATCAGGGAATACTTCTAGGGACTAAGATGAAATTTGCTTGGTCAGATCTACACTAGTCTTTAGCTGCTTGTGAGGTGGTACATGGAGATCTGCACAAATGCACTGCAGGAATGGGTGGACTTCCCTGGTTTAAATTTGGGAAGTTCAGCTGTTTTAGGCATTTCATAAACTGTGAAGGTGTCTCTGCAGAGTGGCATGGACACCTTAAGAACCAAGTGAAAATAAGATTGTTGCAAGATTGTTTTTCTATGGATGGAAATTGCAACACATAGTGCATATCTAGATGTTAAATATTTCCCTTTGGTATGTTAGTATTAACTTGGAAATCATGTGAATGGCAGGGGAAATACCCATAATGTATGTAGTTAGGCAGCAGAAGCTTGAACACGGGAACTCTGCACTGGAAAAATACTTTTTTTTTTTTTTTTTAAATAATAATTAACATTTATTTGTTAATTTTAAACAATTAATTCCTTCTTAAGCAGAAGCATGATAGTAAAATAATTATGTCCTTGTACTGCTAGCTGTCTGCATATGTCTACACTAGTTGCTTGCATTCAGTATTCCAAAATACTGAAAATTAGGATTCCTGAAAGTTGTCTATTTCCATCAGATTGAGCAACAGCTGGGCTCTTACTGTTTCTGTAATGTCAAATAGCATGTTCTAACTCATTTTGCTTTAATCTTGGAAACAATTATTGAGTTTGAGAACGTTCTCATTTGGACCATTTATACCATATTTAAAAATAGGTATTTGTAAATGTCCTGTCACTTCAATGAGAACTGCAAGATAAAAATAGAATAAAACTTTCAAAAGATGTCTAACTAAAGTGTACCTTTTTGCTGAGTGCTACGAAGTAGTTTAAGTGGTTGGAAACCCAGGGGTTTGGGTGTTAAGTCATCTTATGGATTCTCTTTTTGAGAACTAGAGCAAAAAGTTATTAACTAAGCCTGAATTCTGGATTGCTCTTTAATTGTTTTTGGATGAGATAAAAATCTCTACATTCATGTAGCTACAGAATTTTTGCTGGAAAAAGAATCCAAAACAGTAACTTGATTAATTTGGAGATAGTGGAAATAAAATGCTTCCCTTTTTGTCCAGAGAGTACCCTTCTTCAGGAAAAACTAAATATTCTTGGGCAGTTACCTAATGGGCAACCATGCAGTTTTCTTGTAAGCGTTAGGGATGTAGTCAGTTTGGCAGAGCTGGCAAGAATATTCAGTCTTTCATAAGCTTGATGTGCTGCTCTAACCACTTCAGATATTCTGGAGGTAGCTGCTGACCAGGAGGTAGTGTTCACTTCTGCTGAGGTGCTCTGTTAAATCAGGGTCTGGAGGTACAATGTTAGATGCAAGCTGAAATTACATCTTGAACTTGTGACAGCTTGCCAAAGCATGAGAGTGGGGTTTGAAGCCCACTGTGCTTTTACTGAGATGTCTGGCTGGGTATGTAGAGGAGGAGGGGTCTATATTTAGTCAGCCACAGATTTTTGACATACATTGTTTTGAGGAATACTGCATGGAGATGAGTGGGAAATCATGGCTTTTGGAAACAGGTGGTAGCTGAACTCCCGTTTGGCTTGCAGAGCTGTGCTTCATAACTCATGACTTCTGTTTTCCTGTCCTTCCTTGTTCTTGCTGTCCTCCAAGTATCATCTTTATCTTCATTTCCTGACAGTCACTCCCAAATTCTGTGAACCGTTTTTTCCCATTTTTGCCAGGACATTAAAACACCATTATTGCTGCATAAGTGCTTACGCTTTGAGATTAATGGGTAGTGGGAATTCATGTATGAATCACTGTTTCCAACAGTTTACGGACTCGAGCAGATATCCAGGTTTGTGTTTCCAAGGCATCACAGCTAGAAGGGTTACAAATGTACTTTCTCTTGACAGGATAAAATTGGAAGCTCAGATTGTGTATGATGTACTTTTTGTGTGCAAGATATATCGTGAAATTCTGGCTCTGCTTGATAGCATGATCTGTATTTAACTGCTCTGTGCAGATCCAGTTCCTGGAGAGCTGAAGCGTTCGGTTCATGCATGGGATGGCATCTGAACATTCACTCTTCTACTGGTTCTCCTCTGATTTGTTTCAGTGTTTGTAAGTTTTGAGGAACAGATTATGTATTTGAGGATTTACTACAAAAATCAGGTAATGCTCTTTGCTGGAAAGTTAATGCTATGGATGCATCCTAGTTTTCATGGTGCCAGATGGATGTGTGGATTTTCTACCTTGATACCTTGTTCCATCCTTGCTGTTTACCTTGAGAAGAGAAGCTTGAGAAATGTGAGTATTGGCAAGCTGTGGTGTGTCTGCCAGGTACAAAGCTACATCTGAATCCAAACAAGATTTTTCTGTTAGCCAGGCTAGACAAGAGCTGGTTGTAAACAATTGAGAGGAGGTGGAAAACTTATCAGCAAACAGGGAGCCTCCCATGTGCACCTGAGTGCGGGTTGTACTGCTGCTCCTGTGCAAGGAGGGCAACGTGGCATCACATGGGTGTAATGTGGTGGTACCATATTCTTGCTTAACCTGACCTAAAGGCTCTGTGTAGGCACCAGTGCCTATCTGATCCTGCGGGGAGTCGATCAAGAAAACTGAACAGACAGAAAGCAGATTTTTGGCACGGTTAGCTTGGCAAGCTCAGTGCCCTCAGCTTGCTCTCTGGTGGGGGCAAGGCAGCATGAGGACACAGGGTGAAGGTGAGGAGGGGTGGCCTTCCTGTGACGACATGATGCTCGGTCAGCCTGGTAACAGCCAGCTTCCCCCAGGCGATGGAGACCTGATCCATGGCGAGGTGTATAAACAGCTCCTGCTCGCTGTGTTGTGCCAGCACAGCTGTTTGCGTGGCCTCGTGCTGAACCAGATCGCGGTCACTTTTTCCCTTCCCTGCTGTGTTATCTTTCAGGCTGATCAGAGCAGTGCTGCAGCTCACGGCGTGGCTGTGGGAACATCTGTACCAACACAGCCCTGCAGATGACATGTGGGAAGGAGTGGAGGTGGTGGGAAATGAGAGGAGAAAGTAGGGGCTGTTTTGTTGCTGGGGTTGGGAATACAACCTTGTACTCAACCACCAGGAAAAAGTATCTCCTTAAAATGTGTTACAGTAGCTCACTGCTGCTGTTCCGTACATCTGTTGTGTGCAGAATTATTTCTGGTGCAGGGTAGTTAGTGGCTGTCAAATTTTTCTCTTGGCAAGGCCAAGCAAAGCTTTTAATTAAGGAGGGCAGGGTCTGAACTTGATGCCCTTTAAAAACTGACATGCTCAGCTGAATTGGTGTGCTCGCTTGGCTGAATCTGCTTCTTCTCAGTTTTATTTTTTGGTTTAGAGATATCTGGAAATCAGGCTCATACCTGGCTTAAGACTATCCTTTAGTATGATCAAGATTTGAGAAATAATTAGGTGTAGAGCATATGTAGAGGCTGTGAGGAAAAAGTGAACACAGTGTTCCTCATCTCTCTGAAAATGCCACATAAAACCTCTCAGGTTTTGCTGGAGAATGTGTGAAATGACATTTTGAAGTCCTTCCAGAGATACTACTTTCCCTTTTATTCCTTTAGTTTCTGTGAAGATACAGATTCTGTTGCTTGCCTCTGTCCTCAGTTATGTCAGGGGGCTCAGGTGAATGATGTTCTCCAGAATTTAGAGTGGAAAAAAAAAAGGTTTTGATTTTTTTTTTTTTTTTAAGGCTGGATCCCATTTGCTCTAACAGCAAAACAGAAGGAATGGGATAGGGAGCAGGGAGGATAAAGAGGTGCTTAAATTGATGCAGCTATTAAAAAAAATAAATCACACCTCTAATGTGGCTTTAGGGAAGGAGGCTCAGTTCTTTTGCCTTAGCAAAAGGAAGGAAGATGAAGAAACTGAGTATTTAATTTTCCTCATAGTACTAACAAACACTAGCTTTCAGTTCCATCTGATGCCGAATTGTGTTAGTTTGCGTCTGCTAAACGTCCTTGCTCATCAGCTTGCTAGGTTAAAGAGGATTTGAGCTTCTAATATGTTACAAAGGAGGCAAAAGAGGAATTAACTTGTCTTTTATGCTTCATGTGTGGAAATGGTGGTTGAAACTGCAGTGTTTATGTAAATAGCCACCCCTTGCCCCACAACTGAATGCCATCTCTTGAGACTGTCCAGAATCTGCTGATACCTCCTCAGGGATCAGGCTCAGGAGAAACCTACTGTTCATTGATCTGAGTGAGCTTTTAAACCTACCTTGGGAAATGCAGTTGTGAGCTTTTTGATATTTGTTTC